CCGGCTCCCCGAGTGCTCCGGGAGCGCTCCCGCGGAGCGCTCCGGGAGCGCTCCGGCTAGTTTGAGTGCTCCCGGAGTGCTCGCGGGGCGGAGCGCTCTGGGAGCGCTCCGGCCTCGGAGTCCCGCCGTTCAAGGACGCCGAGGGCAAATTCGACCACACGCAACACTGCTACGTGTGCAAGCGCTACGTCCGCGACCAGGGCGGCTTCACCTTCGTCGAGCACGACAAGGCGGTCGGCGAGAACGGCCTCGTGTCGTCGCGCCTGACCAACTGCTGCATGACGTGCAACAGCGCGTGGGTCGCGGAGTTCGACCGGCTGAGCCGCGTCTACAAGCTCAACTTCAAGGAGAAGTGCGCCTTCGCGCGCAAGTACGCGGCCGTCGCGAAGCGCCACTTCCACTAAAGCCGGGATATTATGGCGGCTCCACGTCGAGGATCCGGCCGCAGCAGCTCGGCGACGACGTCGTCGTCGACCCCGGGCCGCCCACGCAGCTGCTTGTCGCCGTCCACAATCGATGCTCGCGCGTCGTAGTAAGCTTCTATGTACACGCGCCGCGCCCTAGAGGGAAAAGCTCTGCTTGAGGCTGAACTTGGGCTTCGACGACAGGTCCACGGGCAGCGACACCGAGGGCACGAGCGTCCCCGCGAAGGGGATCTTCGCGAGGACCGTGAGCGTCTTGTCGAGGAGGGCGGCCGTCGCGGCGACGCCGTGGGGGAGGCCCTTCTTCTCGACCTCCCACTTCGTCGACGCGCCGTCGGAGCCGAGGAGCGGCGTGATGCCTGCGGGCGCGCGCGTTCGCGTCCCGGCGCGCGCGCTCGCGCCCCGGCGTCCGCGCGCCGGCCGCGTAAACGATCGATTCGCACGAGCGATTTCGGCGGCGCGGCTCGAGGGAGTGGGTGCGATCGAGCCCGCGTCTCCATTCCCGCCTTCGCCTCCGGACGCGGCGCGGCGCCGAGGCTCGTCGATCCGTCGAGGTCGAAGTGGAACTTGAGCTTGGGCCGCGTCTTGGGCTTGAGCGTCGCGGCGACGTTGGCGCGGTTCCCGTTGAGGGGCGCGTCGACGTCGAGGCGCAGGCCCTCGACGCCCTCGGTCCGCGGCTCCCAGGAGGGCCTGGGCGGGAAAAGGGTGCGAAATTCCCGACTTCAAAGGCTCCTCTCTCGGCCGTATTCCGCTCGTTTCGGCTGATTTTCGGACGAGCGATCATCCCTCGGAGCGGTCTCGAAGCGTGGATGCTTTTTCCGGAATGCGCGCGCGCGGAAAAAATCACGTTGAAGCGACGTGGAATCACCCCGTTCCCGCCCCGACGACGACGAGAGCACGACGGACGTCGCGGGCACGGTCACGGGCATGAGTTCGAGCAGCTTGGGCGTCGGCGCCTTGGAGTCGACGGTGAGGGCCGCGTAGTCGCCGTCCTTGAGGTCGCCGACGGTCGCGGTGACGAGCGCCTTGGGCGCCTTGCTCACGGGATCGCTCAGCGAGAGCCTCGCCTTGAGGCCGGGCCGCTTCGCGGTCACGTGCAGCGCCTTGGGCGCGAAGGCCGAGTCGGCGAGGTCGTAGGTGCCGCCGAGGGTCACCTTGCCCGCGAAAAGGTCCCAGTCCTTGTCCACGACGGGGTTCAGGCCCAGGGGCAACCCGCTGGCGCCCGTCTGCACGGACACCTTGGCCTTGCCGGCGGACGCGCCCGTCATGGAAAACACGAGCGCGGCGGCGAAGCGCTGCATCGTGCGTTGCTGCTCGTGCGTGCGAGCTGGGTCGCGAGCCGGGCGGCGCGCTCGATCTTCCAGTTGCGGCGCGAGTGGCGGCGCGTCGCGGCAAGTGCTTCTCGGCGGTAACATGTGCAACATGCAAAAGGCAACGTGACGGGCATCTTGGCTTCTCTGTGCGCGCCGCGCTTTCACGACGCTAATTTTTGACACGGTTTTGGCTGTGTCATCGTTATCGCCGCCGCTGCCGCGCGCGCGCGCGCGTCCAGGGTCGTCGTCGTCGCCGCTTTCCGGCCGCGCGGGACCGATTGATGCCGCGGTGACGACGCAGCCCCACTCAACGCGCAAACATGGACGTGAACCTGGAGCAGCTCAACGACGCGTCGCCCGGCCTCACGGTGGCGAGCGCGGCGCTGGCCGCCGCGGCGGACGCGCACGCGGCCATGGCGCCCCTGGAGCTCGCGGGCCACGTCGCCGTCGCGGTCTGGGCCTTCGGCGCGACGATCGCCGCGGGCCGCGCGCAGATGGACGCCGTGGGCAGCCTCGTGACGGCCTTCTTCGCGACGCTGGGCGGGTCGACGCTGCGCGACGTCATCCTCATGCGGCGCGTCTTCTGGGTCGAGGACTCGTCCTACCTCGCGACGCTCGTCGCGACGAGTTTGGCGACGTTCTACCTGTACCCGTGGCTCGCGCGCCGCGCGCGCCTCGAGGAGCGCACGCGCGCGCGGGCCCAGCTCCTGCTCGAGGTGCCCGACGCCATCGGCATGGCCTTCTACAGCGTCTACGGCGCCTACGTGACGCTCCACTGCTGCGACGAGGCGAACGGGCCCCTCGTCGCCGTGCTCATGGGGCTCTGCACGTCGACGTCGGGGCAGGACAAGGGTGATTCAACGTCGCTTCAACGTGATCGTGCCGCGCGCGCGCGCGTTCCGGAAACAGCACCCACGCGTCGAGAGCGCTCCGAGGGATGATCGCTCGTCCCAAAATCAGCCGAAACGAGCGGAAACGGCCGAGATCGGAGCCTTTGAAGTTGGGCATGTCGCACCCTTTTCCTGCCCAGGTCGACGTACGGCGGCCTCGTCGCCGACCCGCTCTGCGGGCGGCCCATCCGCATCCTCCAGGCCGGGGAGACGCTCGTGGCGCTGCCGGCGCTCCTCGGCGCGTCCGTCTACGCGGCCTGGGACGCGGTCCACCCGGGCGGCGACGCCGCGGCCGGCATGTACGTCGCGGCGACGCTGGCCTTCGTGCTGCGCATGGCCGCGGTCTGCTACGACCTCAAGCTGCCCGTCTGGCGCGCGCGCAAGGAGGCCGCGGACCGCAAGGAGCACCGCTCGGACGCGTTCTTCGAGCACGCGCGGAGCCTCGTCTAAGGAAGGCGCCAATTCGCAACATTTGGGAAGATTACACCTTCTCCTTGGGCTTGGGCTCCATGCGGTCCATCATGGACTTCCAGATGACGGAGAAGAGCACGGAGCTGAGGCCGTTGCAGAGGATCTTCGCCGCGAGGCCGCGCCAGAGGAGGCCCGCGACGCCGTCGCGGTTGAGGATGAAGGTCGCGGCCTCGACGTAGGTCACGGGCACGTCCGACGTCTGCACGAACGTCTTGACGACGCGCGTCGAGTTGGACACGAAGTCGCTCACGACGCTCGAGCAGAAGCCGATGAACGCGCGGCGCGCGAGCGTGCGCACGCGGCCCGCCGTCGGCGGCACGGTCGACTCGAGCCAGTTGTTCGTCGCGAACCAGGGGTAGTGGCCGAGGAACGTCGCGACCGTCGCCCCGAGCGCGCCGTTCCACAGCTGGAGCACGCCGCCGCGCCGCACGCGCTCGCCCAGCAGGCCCAGGCCCCGGGCGCCCTCGACCTGCATCATCGTCTTCGCCGTGTCCAGGGGCGTGATGACGACGCGCCAGCCCGCCGCCGCCGCCGACGAGAACGCGGTCTGCACCAGCACGGGCATTTTGCTTCCTTCGAGCAGCGCGAGCATGCCCGCGTTCGCGGCCGTGTCGCCGAAGCGGCTCAGCGGGCCCTGGAGCAGCGCCATGGACATGCCGCTGTAGAAGCGCGCCACGCCGCCCTCGGCGTAGAGCAGCCGCATGACGGCTATCAGCGACCCGCCGTGGCGCATCTGGTAGTTGACGGTCGTCCGCAGCCACATGAGCAGGACGACCTGGAGCACCATGGCCACGGCGCCGGGGATGCCGCCGCCGACGGCCTTCTTCAGCGCGCCGCCGAGCATGGTGCGGGGGGGCGAGCGCGCAGGCGTGAGGCGCCGAGCGGCGAGCGGGGCGATCCCTGAGGCCATCAAGTTGCATCATCATTGCAGCGTTGTTGAACCACTCCTTACGCGCCGGCGGGCGCCCGCTCCCAGGGCGGGAGCGTCATGGCGCGGGCGGACTCGACGCGGACGCGGCGCGCGGCGCATGCGGTCCGCGCCACGGCGCCGGTCATGGCCGCGCCGCCCTTGGTCCGCCAGGGCGCGCTCTCGATGACGAGGAACACGTCGCCGACGTAGAGCTCGACCATGGACGCGCGGACGAGCAGCCGGAAGGTCGTCGGGAGCTCCCCGAGGCCGCGGTCGACAGCGTCGTAGGGCGCGAAGGCGTTCGCCCGGTCGACGCGGCCCGTGACGCCGCGGCCGCGGCCGTCGACCTGTGTGGAAATCAAATCTTCAACTCGACTTCAATGTGGGCGCATGCGACCGATTCGACGCGACGCTTTCTACTGTGCTTCGAGAACTCGCCGAGAGCAATCGATCCGTCCAAAAATCAGCCGAATCGACTTCGATTTGACCGATAGAGAGGTTTGAAGTTTTGCTGGACCACCCATTCCACTGGTTGATTTCCACACAGCCGTCGACGAGGACGACGAGCGAAGACCCGTCCGTGAGGGCGAACTCGAAGCCCGGGAGGCAGGCGGCGTAGGCGCCGCTCGCGTTCGCGGGCGCGCGCGCGCCCCGGAGGTCCACGCGGCCCCCGAGGACGACGCCGACCGCGAGGTCGAGCGGCGCGTTTTCCCAGCGGTCGACGCGCGCGCCGGCGAGGGCGTCGTTGCCGGGCCACCACTTGAGGCGCAGCGCGCCGTCGGCGTCGACCTCCGCGGCCTTGTAGGGCGCGAGGAAGTGGTTCGGGTGGTGGAAGGCCTGGTGCGAGACGAGGACCGCCCCGTCGCAGCCGTCGAAGAAGCGCGTGAAGTAGCCCGCGCCGGAGAGGACGCGGAAGTTGCGCGGCGCCGCGCGGAACGGGCCCGCCGGCGCGTCGGCGACGAGCGCGCGCATCTCCCAGCCGGCGCCGCCGAGCGCGAAAAAGCGGCCGCCGAACTTCGCGACGCCGCCGATCTCGAGGTCGCCGAGCTCGGCCGCCGCCCCGACGACCGCCGGCGGCGGCAGCGCGCGCCAGCGGAGGCCGTCGGACGTCGCGCCCATGCCGAAGGCCGCGGCGCCGTCGAGCGGCGACGCCGTCCAGTAGCCGTAGACCTCGCCGGGTTCCGCGCCGGCGACGAAGCCCGTGAGCGTGTCCCAGCGCACCGTTTTGGCCGCCGCCGTCGGCGCGTCGCGGTAGTAGCGCCCGTCGGGCGAAAAGAGGAGCGGCGCGCCGCCGTCGTCGAGCACCTGCGTCCAGGTCTCGAGGTCGTCGGACTCGGCGAAGCTGATGGTCTGCGCGAGCTCGCCCTTGTCGTTGTTCCGGCAGACGGAGTAGTTGATGCTGAACTTCTTGCGGTTCGAACGCTCGTCCGACCCGGGCCGCGCGAAGACGGAGCTCGTGCCCTCGGAGCAGCGCCACTCGCCGCCGCAGAGCCCCGGAAGCGGCGGCATGCGCCACGCCGCGCCGCGATCCTCGAAGTGCGCGCCGTCGGCGCTCACGGCGTGCGCGGCGCCGTCGGAGCCCGTCCCGAGGCCGAACGACGGCGCGCTCACGTTCGCCAGGAAGAAGGCGTGGTACGTGCCGTTTTCGCAGATGGCCCACGTGTCCCATTGGCTACTGACCTTGTGGGATTGAAACAGCAGACCGAGGGCGCCGGGGGCGGCGGACGCCAGCAGGAAGACGAGCCTCTGCATGGCGCTACGAGAAGCGGTCAACTTAGGTGCAGCCCGAGAGAAGCGCTGCTTGTTCTAGAAGCGGGTCAGCCAGACGCTCGTTCTAGAAGCGCTACTTGTTCTAGAGGCAGTCAACAGAGGTGCAGCCCGAGAGAAGGCGCTGGACATTACGCCTCTAAGCCGGTCCCGAGGTTCAACATTAACCATACCCGCCCAGTCTGACGCGTCTCCCCAGCTCTTGATCAGCCCTCGGCACCGACTCAGCTCTCGTCCCCGTCTCACTGCTTCCGCCATGCGGTCCCACCAGCTTCTCGTCGCCGTCGCGGCCCTCGTCCCCGCGGCCCTGTCGTGGCAGCCGTCGACGCGCCTGTCGGGCGTGCCGAGCGCTCTGTCGACGCGGAGCGCCCGCACGTCCCTGCGCATGAGCGACGTCGACACGGAGGAGGCGGAGATCATGGCCGACGCGGAGAAGATCGCCAAGACGAAGCGGTCGAACATGTTCAACGAGAACGGCGTCGCCTACGCGCCCTGGATGGTCAACCAGGTCGACGAGGACGCCGTCAACATCGCGCGCGCGATGCGCAAGGACAAGAAGCGCGTCGAGCGCCTGGCCATGCTCGAGAAGCAGGGCACGGTGAACATCCTCGACGCGGCGACGTCCGAGCTCTCCGGCATCGGCCTCAAGGCCAAGTGCGTCGACGACGGCGAGGTCGAGCTGCTCTGGGGCACGAACGACGAGGAGGACAACAAGGGCTTCGTCGTCGAGAAGAAGCTCGTGGGCCGCTCCGAGTGGGAGGAGGTCGCGTCCTACAGCTCCTGGAGCCCGCTCAAGAGCAAGGGCACGCTCGGCGGCGCCTACAGCTACGTCGACGTCACCGCGGAGGAGGGCGAGTGGCTCTACCGCGTCGTCGCGGAGCAGGTCGACAACACGCGGGCAATCACGTGCCAGGTCGGCATCTCCGTCGAGTCCGCCGGCCAGGCCCTCCAGACCAAGATCATCGTCGGCGCCGCCGCCGTGCTCGGCGTCGGCTTCCTCGCCGCGGGCGCGCTCCTCGACCCGATCCGCGGGTGAGGCGCGGCGGACCGGCGGGGCGCGCTCGGCGGGGGCGGTCGTAAGCCAGTCCCGCGACGCGACCCGCGTCGGCGCGTCGTCCGGCCCCGGGGCGCGCCGGCGCCGGTTGGGGAGCGGGGCAACGATCGTGCACGATGGAGGCTGCCCCAGCCTGAAACACCGCGGCCACATGCCCAGCGGCGTGCGCGCCGTGCGCACGCTCCGGCGGAAGGCGTCGCCGGAGAGCCTGGAGCTGCTCGAGCAGCTGGAGACGCTGCTCGAGGACCGGAGCCGCCTCGACAAGTTCAGCGCCGACGCCTTCGGGCCCAGTGTCCTGGACCTCGAGGACTACGACGAGGGGTTCCGGAGCGACGACCCCGACGACCTGGAGGTCGTGCTCGACCGGGCGCGGGCCGCGCAGGACGCGCTCGACGCCTTCTGCCTCGCGGCGGCCGCGGCCGCGGGTCTGGGGCCCGAAGCGTACGAGCGGGCCCGGCGGAAGGGCTTCGGCCGCGCGGCCGACAAGGTGCGCGCGGACTACGACGGCGACGCCCAGCGGCTCCGCGACGGCGCGCGCGGCTCGCTGGTCGCGGAGACCGAGGGCGACCTCGCGCGGCTCCTGCGGACGCTCATGCGGAGCAACGGGGACACCGCGCGCGTCGTCCGCTTCGCGAACCGGTTCCGGCGGCCGCCCTTCACGGGCTACCGCGACGCGCTCTTCACCGTGCGCCTCGGCGACGGCGGGCGCGCGCCGGTCCTCGCCGAGGTCCAGGTCCACTACGGGCCCCTCGCGGACTCGGCGCGACTCGTGCGCGAAGTCCTACGAGGCGTTCCGGGCCTACTTCCGGCGGGGCCGCGCCGCCGAGAAGCTCGACGTGCTGCGCCGGCTCGCCGAGCGCGCCTCGCCGGACTTCCAGGCCGGCGTCGAGGCCGCGCTCGCGGGCGACGACGGCGACCTCCTCGCGTCGCTCGCGGACGTCGGCGCGGACGTCGCATCTTCAAGCCGACTTCAACATGAGAGTAGACTCTTCTGCTGTGCTTCGAGCATTCGACGAGAGCACTCGATTCGTCCCACAATCAGCCGAATCGATTGACCGAGCGAGCGAGTTCCGAAGTTCGGCCCCGACGTCCCGGCTCACCGGCGGATTTCCGCGCAGGCGGACGTGCTCGAGCGTTCGTGGCGACGTCGAGCTCGCGGTCGCCGCGCGGCGGCGCCTCGTCGACCTGGCTGTGGACGCGTCGGGCAAGGGGTCCCTGGCCCACGCCGCGGCGCTCGAGGGCGAGGCGCTCGTCCTCGAGGCCGAGGGCCGCCTCGAGGACGCGGCGCCGCTGCTCGAGTCCGTCCTCGCCATGCGCGAGGCCGCGCTCGGGCCGTCGCACGCGCGCGTCGCCGACGCCGCGCGGCGCCTCGCGCGGCTGCGGCGCGCCGACGGGGACACGGCCGGCGCGCTCGCGCTCCACCGGCGCGACCTCGCGATCCGCGAGGCCGCGGCGCCGCGGTCGCGCGCCGCGGCGACGAGCCTGAACAACCTCGCGGAGGCCCTCGCGGGCGACGACCCCGGCGCGGCGGCGGCGCTCCTCGAGCGCGCCTGCGCCATCTGGGAGGCCGCGGGCGAGGACCTGGAGTTCGCGACGGCGTCGTCGAACCTGGCGAGGTGCCTCGACGACGGCGGCCGCGGCGACGCCGCGGCCGCGGCGGCGCGGCGCGCGCTCGCCGCGCTCGTCCGCGCCGTGGGCGACGGCGGGCCGGCCGTCGCGGCGTGCCACCACGCGCTCGGCGTGATCCTCCGCGACGGCGACGAGGCCGAGGCCGCGTTCGAAAAAGCCGTTTCGCTCAAGGAGCGCCACTTCGGCTTCGGCCACCTGAGAGTCGCGGCGAGCTGGCGGGGTTTGGGCAAGGCGCGGCTGCGGGTGCGCAAGTTCGCCGAGGCGGAGCAGGCCTTCCGCCGCGACGTCGCCATCTCCGAGGACAAGCTCGGACCCGACGCGCCGGAGCTCGCGGCGCGCTACAACAACTACGCCATGCTCCTCTGGCGCCTCGGGCGGCCCGCCGAGGCCGCGCCCTTCCAGGAGAAGGGTCTCGCCATCAAGCGGCGCCTCGGCGACGCCGCCGCGGAGCGCACCTACGACGGCGAGCTCGACGGCATGCTCGCGGGGGAGCCCTACCCCTACGGCGGGCGCGCGGCCTGACATGGGCACAGAAAAGTGGTCTATTCACAGGAGGGGTCGCATGGACAGGGGCGAATTCAGAAGGAGAGCGTGGAGCGCCGCAGCGGCCGCCGGACCGCGGCGTCGGCGATCTCGCGGTCGAGGCGCGCGTTGGGCTCGACGGCGTCGATGGGCCCGCGGCAGCTCGGGCACCGGTCCGACGTGAGGCGCCAGCGCGCGAGGCACTCGGCGCACGCCGAGTGCGCGCACGCCGCGACGGTCGCCGCGCGCTCGACGGTGCCGTAGCAGACGGGGCACTGGTGCGCGGAGTCGCGGTGGCTGTCCCGGCGGCGGGGCAGCTTCCGCGCAAAGTGGCGGTCGCCGGCCGTCGCCGTCGGGTCGCTGCACGTCGACGCGCCGCCCTTGGGCGACGTTTTCGAGCAGGACGACGTCGAGGAGGCGTCGCTGTCCTTGCGGCGGCCGGCGAAGGCGACGCGCTCGTCGATCTTGGCCAGCTCGTCGAGCTTGCCGCCGGACAGCGCGCGCGCGATGTCGGAAGCTGAGGAGAGAGGATGCCCGAATCTCCGCGCGGCGTCGCGGCCGCGGCCGACCATGGCCTTCAACGCGTCGTCCGCGAGCGTCGTGGCCGCGTTCGCGTAGGCCGTGTGGTGCAGCAGCCGCTCCCCGAAGTAGACGATGAAGACCGCCGTCGCGTCGCCCGAGGGCAGGGTGACGGGCAGCGCGACGGCCGTGGACAGACCGGAAGCCGTCGCCGTGTCGAGGCGCGCGTAGGTCGACGGCTCCGTCGTCGGCGCCAACAAATCCACGACCTCGGCGACGCCCAGCAGCCACGCGCGGCCCACGAGGCCGATGCCCGGGCTGAACGACGTGTTCGAGGCGCACCTTAACATGCTCGCCGTCGGGTCCTCCAGACACCGCGGGCACGCGTGGCCCCGCGGGCTCCGCATGGGGCTGTAGCAGTCGCCGCGCCGCGGCGTCGCGCCGCAGGCGAGCGTGAGCCGCGTGACGCCCGTCGGCGCGGCGACCGGTAGATCTCGCGGCGCGCCTCGGGCGTGAGCGTCGGCGACGTGAGGCCGAGGCCGAGCCGCTCGAGGTCGCTGGACGACGACGCGCGCGCGGGCTCGCCGTGCGCGTCCGCGCGCCAGACCTCGCAGAGCTTCCACCTGCGCGGGAGCGGCTCGTTTCGAACCGCGTCCGGCGCCGGCGGTCGAACGCGCGCGCGCGCGGCGCAGTTCGGCGCAGACCCGCGACCGGGACGCGCGCCGCGGTCCGGGGGTCGCGCGGCGGGGGTCCGCGCAGCTGCAACGGACGCGGGACGACGCACGGCGCAACGGAACCCGATGTTGACGCGCAGACTTCAGAGGCAAGCCATTCGATGAAGAGGTGGTCTTCGCGCTGCACGACGAGGTTGTTGTCCTCGGACAGGTCAGTGAAGGACGTCATCGACGCTCACATCGTCGCGAGCGTCTGAAAGGCGCCACACGGCAGCGGCAACTCGAAGCGACGAAGACCGATCCTGCCACGACACCTGCGTGTGAAAGTGCTAGTTTTGATCCGAGAGGGCCGGCGTTTCAGCAACCCAAACGTTCAACTTGTTTTGATCCGCTGCAACACTTTTTCTTGAACAAGGACGTCACGGCAAGACTAAAAACATCATCGTGTACGCCGGGCATCACCGTGCCGACGCTGCCCCTCGCCTTTTTCAGCCATTTGGATCGTCGCGTGCTCGCCGCCAGCCACTGTGCTCAGTGTCGACACCCATGGGCAAGCGCCGCGGCAAGCGCACCGGAGGGGCCGGCGGCGACGGCGCCGCCGAGCCCGTCGGCTTGAAGGCCACGGCCCAGGCCGTCATCAACGTGAACCGCATGGAGAAGAAGGCGCCGCCGCCGCCGCAGGCGCCCGAGGCCGCCGCCGCCGCCGTCGCGGCGTCGGCGGCGGAGAGCGTGCTCCGCGACGCGAACCCGCCGCCGCCCGCGGACGCCGCCGCCGACGAGGCCGCCGCGGCCAAGGCCGCCAAGGCCAAGGCAAAGCGCGAGAAGGCCAAGGCGAAGAAGGACGCCGCGCGCAAGGCCAAGGCCGACGCCGACGCCGGCGGCGCGGCCAAGGCGGACCCGGAGGCCGCGGAGGCGGCGCCGAAGGCCAAGGCGGAGCAGGAGGCCAAGGCGGCCAAGGCCAAGGCGGAGCAGGAGGCCAAGGCGGCCAAAGAGGCCGCGGACGCCGAGGCCAAGGCGGCCGCGGACGCCAAGGCGAAGAAGGCCGAGGCGGCCGCGGCGAAGAAGGCCGAGGAGGCGGCCGCGGCGAAGAAGGC